TGAACTAAATAAAGGGTTTGGTTCGAAATACTAACGTATATCACCGGAAGAAGACCGGAGTGTACAACAGCCGAAACATTGGGAATATGACAATACAGATGAGGGTAATATTCCGAACAAAGTAAATAGAGAAAATATGTTTGTGTACATTCTTTTTATAATCACTTAATCAAGAAAGCACAGAAAAGTGATGATATAACGACAAAAGTAGTCTAATTAAGAACCCTGGTATTTACCAGATGCATTTAGCGTCAAAAGTTAAAACTAATCTCTCTCTCTCTCTCTCTCCCTCCCTCTCACACACGCACAGACACAGACACACACACACAGACGCAGAAATACACACACACACACACACACACACACACACACACACACACACACACACACACACACACTAACAATAACAATAACAATAACAATATAACAAAACACACCCCCGTAGGTTTTCAAAATAGAAGAGATATTTTAGAATAAAGTTAGTAGCCCGTACTTCAACACAGTAAAGACAAACAAACAAAACGTGCGCACAATGTTTATTGTAGTGATTATACAAACCTATCAATAATAAATATCAATTCCTCAAATGTTCAAACTGTTTGCCCCCGTCATTCACTCACACCTCTTTATCTCCAAAACATTTCTTATTATTTATCAAAAAATAAAAATTATAATAATTGTATTATAATAAAAATTATGAAAATAAAAATATTAAAAACGATTTCAATGGAAATGAAACCTAGAACTACTATTCGTAATGCTGCTATAATACTTATTGTATACATACATTTGCAACCCCACCCCTGTATAAGTGTTCTGATTTTCTGACCTTTGACCTATCACTGACATAGTAAGTTGAGAGATGAAATAAATTAAAATGAATCACCCCGTGCCTGTGATGAAGGCAGCCTTTCAGTGTAGCGGGAAATCATGTTTACTATACACTGTTCGGACAATTGTCCTCATCTTTATTGTTATATTCATGATGTTTCGGCCGTTGTACGTTCTTCAGGTGATATACGTTGGAATCTGAAACGGAACCCTTTATTTCGTTCACCGGGGTAGATTGTTCTAGTTCCACATATTATGCCTTTTCTGGATATCTCAAGTTCAGTTATCTCCCTTTTAGTAATAGAATTCTACAAGTTTTTGTTCACCTCTACTGTGGCCAGGAACTGAACTCACAAGTCATTTACAAAACAATAAGTTAATCTGAAATTTACAAAGTAGAAAAATTATTTTATTGTTCCATAAAGGCCAAGGAAAATTTACATTTTTAAATATTTCGTTCATTTTAAAGACATTTCTATCAGAGCGTCAATATTTACTAAATTTAGCAGAGTTAAATTCAAAGCCAAATCGGCGGAAATGGTGGTGAGATGATTGCTTACGAAATGTTGAAATGTTCATTTTTTTTTGCTGGGCTCGAACACTGGCAAATAGTCAATTATCTCAGTCATCAAGCAAAATATTCGTTTGTATTATTTGCAAAAAAATGAATAGGGAGACTTTTCCCTTAACAATAATGGAAATGGTCAGTGTAGACATCAAGTTATGCTGACCGATTTCCCCAAGATACAGTTTCCTGTAACATTTATCTGGTTATAATTCCTCTATAGAGATGTATTTTACTGTCACTCTCCCTAATTAACATGCTCTGTCTCCCCACCATTGCTACAGCGATTCATATTGCACTTAAATCAGTTCTATTTTCCTCTTGCTTTTCTTGTGTTTGATTTACGATCGAATCAGAGAGTTAGTAAGGGTCATCAGACACAAAAGCTTTCATCGTTTTCAGAAATTGGATCAAGCACAAAACATTTAAGAGTTACATTGATCACTAAGATATTAAATATTTAAGAGTTATGTTGATCTTAAAGAGTGGCGAAAGAAATCAGTGACACTTGTTATACCCTTTTATTTGCCATCAATCATTTGTGTGGCGGACAATAATCAGTTGTCTGCTTATATAATTTCCATCCCGCAAGTTTCATGTATAACGGTACACAGCAAATCATTTCAACAATAATGACATGGCATGAGATATATTCACTCAATTATTTGCACTTGTTTTTTTTTCCAACTGTAATCGATTGACAGTCGAAAGGATGGAGATATTATTTAAAATGTCAGATTGATAAAGTTCGTCACTACAAATAAAAGAGTTCCTTTGAACCAGTCGGTAACTTTAAAACTTAAATCAACCGCAGTCACCACAAGGTGAATGCTTAAACAATAAGAACTGCTTTTGATGGACAGGTAGGTAGAAACGGTTTACTTAGAAAGGTGTGCCTCAAATCAACCAATGAATGATACGTTATTTAATTTATGACATCAGAGAGGGGGAGAGTGTATGTTCAAAACTGCAATAAATATCAAGTAAAAAGATCTATATATGTCAAAAGTGGGCCACTTTCCCAGACAACAACGTTTTCCTTTATGACAGTTGTCTAGTCGTCCTCAATCTGATATCATCCTGATATTCAGATGTGGAAAAAAACAAAAAACAAAAAAACAAAAAAGAACTGATTCATTTCATCCAGTTAGAAACTCGACGCCATTACGTAATTTGTATCCATATACAGAAACTTTAAGTCAGGAATTATTTAATATGCAGAGAATAATACCCACGGAAGGCTGAAGAACACAGCGGTCTAAAGACAAGGAAGCAAGTCGTCACAGAAATAGAAACTTTAACCGAAACAAATGTGTTAATCGTAATTTTCTATCACAATTGGCTTTGAATGTGACAGTTTTCATTTTTTCTTCTGTGGGAATTAAAGTCGAATGACAGAAGTTTATCAATCTTACACTAAACAAACTGAAATAAAAGTGGACCTTTTATATCGAAACCAACACGAGAATAGACAGCGAGAATCCATCATGTAAATGTGTTTAATAGACTGTTTTGGCTAAACATTCAGTAATATTTCATAGAAATTATTTATTTATTTATTTAAATATTTTAATTAACTCCTGTCAATTTTTTAGGTCCCTAAGCGCAATCAATGTAAATTCATTTTTTTACGTTCATTTTTCATATATATTAAAACAGGAGAAAACGCTTTTAACACAGAAACAAGGTCAGTGATACATTGAGAGGGTCAGCTAGCTAATGGCGTCTTTTGGGCTCATCGCTTAGGCGGGAAACAGTCTCTAGATTGTACTAATGAATTTCTTGATTTGTATCTTTTTTTTTATAGTGTTTAAAATCTCCCGCGTCAATTTGAGGTGAAGTGTTTATATTGTTTTATGAATTATTCAGATTAGTTTCTCCACCTCATCTTTGATACTAGATTCAAATCTATCGACTTTTTAAAAGTTTCTTCACGAATTTACAGCAATTTCTAAATTCTCTTCTCCTCAATCACCATTTTCTTATTTGACCAATGAAAGAATTCTTAATCATAATCTTTTTCAATGTTGATTAACTACCACTTCCTCGCACTCAAATTTACAAAATGAGAAATTGTCTTGGTGAGTGAGCAGAAAAGGAGTTTAGTGTCTTCTGTGGGTAAATAGTGGCTCTGTGTCAAATGGTCTGCACTTGTGTAAATGACAGACGTTTATAATAAGAGTGGTAGGAAATCCATGGCAGTAATGTTATCCACAGCCAAACATTTATGACTATTTTTTGAAATATGAACATAAACATCCTATTTGTTCAATGAAACCCTAAAGAACAAAAAAAAAAAAAAAAAAAACATAGAAGTGAAAGAAGAGAAAAATATTAGTCTCTTTCGCAAGAGAGAGGACTTAATTCTTTGACAAGAGAGAGGACACATTTTTCACCTAAAGGAATAAAAAATATAGTCTTTTTTAAATTTGTCATGATTTCTTGGCACGTTTCTCAACGGTTTTGAATCCAACGTTATCTTTCTCCTAAGCTGGTCGGTAACCACGGCGAGGCAGTCTATTCTATGATGGTAAATAACTCAGTCTTTTCCATGGTCTTTTGTTAGAAAGTGAACGCAACAGACTAAGCTGGAAATTGAGCTCGCCTTGCCGATTGCACTTTGTGCACCGCTAACAAGTGACCACGAACACTGTCTACTTTAAACATCAAAAAGGAAGCTAATATTTAACCATTGCTAAGTTTGACGGTTGGTATTCCTTGAAACTTCTCAACTAATGTGAAGGAGCATCGCTTTTTTGCCAACACGTCGTCTAGGCTATCAAAAACCGTCCATGATAGTTACATTATAAATCTTTAGTTCCACTACATTTTGTGTATCAACGTCGAGTGGTCTGATAGTGAATATCAGACGATAAGGAGGTGAAAGGGTTGGGATAGGAGATAGAGATAGGAGAAAAGTAAAAAAAGAAAAGAAAAGAGGAGGAAGAGTAGAAGGTGAGTATAATTAAATATAGCAACTAAGCAAGTTCGTGATCCTTCTATCTTAAAAGAGAATGTTTTAAATCTTGTACAAAGAGAGAGAAGAACAGAGGTAACAACTTTATAGAAACTGCAACAAGAACAGCCTTGAGCTAATTAGAACCAGGAAAACAAGTCCGATAAATGTTTGGTGGTTGCAGTTGAAACAGTTTTAAAATTAAAGAGCCAGTCGTTTATTGGCTTAAATCGGAGATGGTGAGATATGAAAAATATTAGAGAGAAATACTCTTGCCCGCGATATAAAAAGTGCTGTTGAGAGAGAGAGAGAGAAAGAGAGAGAGGGGGAGAGGGAGAGAGAGGAGGGAGAGAGAGGAGGGAGAGAGAGGAGAGAGAGAGAGAGAGAGAGAGAGAGAGAGAGAGAGAGAGAGAGGGTGGTGTTTAAAGATTGATTTGAAAGGCAAGGATAAATCTTTCTAATAAAATGCCACTCCTTTGAAGAAAAGTGAAGGTTAACTGCCTTCAGAATTTTTTAATGGAGTCTGGAATAAGATAAAGTATGTCTCTTATTCAATGATTTTCACCATGGATTTTTACGTTTATCAGTCAAATTGTTATAAGTGATGTAAAAATCGACGAACAAAAAAGAAAATGAGAATTCACTTACCAGTGCCAATTTGCAAAAATGACGATATAAGTCCGAGTTTTTTGGCTGTTTTTAAATATTTATTGTGCATTGGTCCCAACAAAATCAACCAAATGAGCATCATGATGATAATCATTAATCCAAAACCAGCGCCTAAAAGCTCAAAGATCCGGGTGAATACCAACCAAGCGGGAGTGTCTGAAAAAGAAAGCATTTATTTTGTGAACAGTCAAAATGATACTTGTTAAAAAGCGATTGTTTCACATAGCATTGCTAATGTATTCAATGAAGCTGGACTTTTGCCATAGTTTACTCTAGTAAAACTTTACATTGACATACCAATTCTTAACGCTCAAGCTATAACAAATACCTGTGTGAAAATATAAAAGAATGTCTTATTTTTATAATTCCAATCTCTTTTCAATAATTCCAATCTTAAGTTATTTCATCACAAAACCTGATTGATAAATTTACTTAGCTAGACATTAAAATTTTGATAAAATCTGTGTATAGGTGTGTCCGCACACAACCGGTCAATAAATGGTTAGGGTAGAATTTGGTTTCAGAAACAAAGAAAATTTGAAGACTTCAAATTGTGAATTATCTTGAGTTTTCAGTAATGTTGAGTATGTGCTGTTAATTTAAAATGAAATATCTTTATAATTCTAGATATAAAATACAAAATGTCATAAGTGTTGATCGCTGCTTCTATTAAGCACCGCATATACTCAAAGGTAATTTTTGCGTTCATCAAGTATTATTTAAAAAACAAAACAAAAAAAAAATGATGAACATCGACACATTCCACAAAAGGAAGATTTAATCTGGAAGAAATTAATCATTATTATTTTGTACGTGCAGCTTGATGGCAGACATGAAACATTCGAGAAGGTTAGTTATTTCCTAACTCTACTATAAGGTATAAAAATAGTTTATGATAAAAAAGGCGAATAGTTGATCGCCTCTGAATTCAGTGTCATTTGCGATTTTTTTTTACTTATATCTATAAATGCAAGAAAATGTGTGAACCTATTTTTCAGATGAATTCATGCGTATTGTCACGTGGGACGCCATGAAAGCTAGAAAAAAGCAATTAACTAATCTATATTTAAGAAGGTTCTTTTCAATCGATGGTCAATTTTCAAAACAGAAATCATCTATTACTATCTCTTTACTTCTTGGCGGTGAGAAACATTCAATTAATGAAGATGAAAGACTTTTCTCGAATATATTATTCAATAGATTAATAACCAATATCAGTTAGTGTGTCCAAAGAGTTTTATATTGCATACATTTCAGCTTCTCTTTTTTTTTGTTTACTTTTTTGTCAGCGATAGTGAGGGCACGCGAATATTATCATAATTGATATTAATATTTGATTAAATTTATAGATTTAAATATAATGTTCTTGTCTTTTTGAATTGGAATCGACTGAATTACAGGGGAGAGTCTGAGAGGAGTGACACTATTTACAAATGATGTGGAATTTTAGATTGGAAAATCAGCGTCTCTTTGTTGATTTTGAGTAAATGAGATCAGCTATTATTATTCGAATCTAAAACAAATTTAAAACACCGCAAGTCTTTTCTCTTAACGCAGATACGATTTTTGGTTTTCTGGTCGATTTCCTAAGTTTCAATGAAATAACAGATGTAAACTCGTAACAGTTAATCGATTCATCCTTATGGGCAGTTGAGTCAATACCTCCGAATTCCTCATCTAGGGTTTTAAGGAAGAACTTCCAAGAAACGAAACGGGAAAAGTGTTTAGAGACCGCGACCTTTATTTAAATTGTTTTCGACATTCCATTGAAATATTTCAACTTTATTTTAAAGGTTGTATACAAATGCAACGATTTCTTCAAGGCCATATCATGCTAACGCAACACAATCTTTCTAGTACCAATTCTTCCTACCCCCACTTGTTCCGAATTAAGTTAAAAGTAATAAATATATATATAACATGCCAACTTCACGCAATGATCGACTTCAGTTAATTGTATACAATGTTCAATCATTTTTCATGTAAAATTAACAATTTAAATATAGAAATAAGATTGCGATCAATTCATGCAGAGCAAACCCTAATCTATACGACTGTTAAATATACCAAGTTATCGTGTGTGTTACATTAGGGACATGAGGTATTTATCTGTTTGATTCAGTAGCAATAAATTTTAAATCAATAGCAGAATTACACAATTGAAAACTAATTACCCTTCTATCTAAAAGTGAGTTTGACCAAATGTTCATTTACAAAACATGCAGATCCAAAGAGAAGTAGAACAAATCAAAACATACAGAAAAAAAAATTCGCTATGACGAATGAATGAACTAATTTTTATGATTTTATTTTCAACATTTTCTATTACTCAGACATTGTTTAAAGGCAATTTCGTATTTTCATTTTTTTAACAAAAGATTAATTGGTCAATATCCGGAATAGAAATCTGTTTTTACCTGCTTGATGTAAACAATTCATTGATTATTTGTGATGGGAAGTGACTATGAACAACACTGACAGGCTCAATGAGAGTCAGGTAAAATCTTATGAAATAAATCTTATTAAAGAAATGATTACCTGCAATAAAAATGTGAGTTTATTTCACTATGAGATTTTCACTGCGAACAGTTAAAATTAATCAACGTTCCAAATGGAATTAATGTGACAAAGAACTGAGATTTGGCTATGTCATCTAGACACTAAAGCAATAACAAAAAAACACGTTCATTGGCCGATAAATAGCTGGACACTGGGAGCACCTGCTGGCACTGCAGATTGTGTCAGTTTTGCCATCCAATTCAGTTAGAGGCTTGCACGCTCTTAAATAAACATAATTTTATAAAGAACTTTATTTTAAATTCTCTGAAAAAGACCTCGGATGATTAGAAAGTTAATCTCACTAGCCATTGTTTAGTATGTTTGGGTCTATTTTGGTGCTCTTAATATTGCTATTTTGAGCCAAATTAAGCTAAGCTTAGTATGAATCAACAAACATAGGATTATACATACATACATAACATACACACACACACACACACACGCACATATATATATATATATATATATATATATATATATATATATATATATATATATATATATATAGAGAGAGAGAGAGAGAGAGAGATAGAGAGAGATAGAGAGAGTTTAGAACTTCCTATGCTTAGTGAGGAAGAGTGCCTAATAAAATAGAACGGTTTTATATATACACTGGGAAGTTAGAGATCAACACCGTATGGTGATTGTCAGTTTTACACCTTAAGTGATTCTCAATCTGTGTTCCTGCTGTTTGTCTTTTCTCTTTCTTTCTTATATAATAAGTGTAATATAAATTTTCATTTCTGAATCTAAAAGATAGGCTACCGAAATAAATATTCTAACATATCCCATATACCCGAATAAATTATTATTTACATGTGAATACGGAATCGTGTTAATATTCTATAAATTTCATCCAGTTTTCACGCATTGATTTCTGAAATTTTCTTCTGTTCTTATCGTATTTTTTATTGTTTCCTAGCGATTCTCTTTGCTTGGATATATTTTTACATTCTCACAATCTTTTTAACTATGGATTCCAAATCTTCTATTTGATTAATATCTGGAGAGGATGTAGAACGATGAAACCATTTTTGGTAAAGTTGGCAATTGTTAGCTTTTCAGAATTGGAAGATGCATTGTCTTGCACTTTAGCTCAAAGCTTGGCAATTGGAACTCGTGCCACTCAAAAGTCTGTCCGAGAAATGACAATAATTCTCTGTATTTATCTTGATACCATCAAATTTAAAGGGACGTATAATCTTACGACTGACAATACAAGCCCCAAAGCATTACTCCATCACCACCGTTGTTCTGTTGATTTAATATTTTCATAAAAGAACCAAAGTCGAGCTCAACAATCCGGTTAATCCAATGTAGCTGTACATTTATCATTAAAAATTTACTGTTGAGAAATCAGTTTTCATGTCCTTTTCCTAACTGACATGTTTCTCTTTGAGATGTTTACTAATATGAAGTAGTTTATTTACAGGAAGTAGTTTATTTACATGAAGTAGTTTATTTACAGGAAGTAGTTTACTTGCTTTCGTGTCTTTTTAGCCGATTTTCTTAATACTCTTCATCTTTTGTCTTTGTTTACATTTGTGGTGGACCGGGTGGGTTTGCGTATTGTTGTATTAAAAACATGTGTGTAACTCCTGGTAGAATATTAAAAGGTCCAACTACAAGAAAATGGCCGGACTTGAATTATGTCCAACTGAAGAAGACAAACAAAACCGATATATATAAAATATATATATATATATATATATATATATATATATATATATATATATATATATGTATTAAACAAAACAATTTTACAATGGACAATAACATTTGTGTGTGTATGTAAACATTGGTGTCTGTTTTTTGGTGAATATCCGTACGTACGTGTATGTGTGTATAATGTTCATGGCGTCACAAATGGGAAGACGCGGATCTTCTAAGAGAGCTTACATTGTAGTCGCTGAAATGAAGAAATTAAAAAAGAGAACGTGGTGAGAAGTCGCCCAGTATTTATAGTATAGGGAGAATGACACCTAGTGACAATTTGGGAATTAAGGAGGAGCTAACTCCGACACATTCGTAACTCCAACTTCAAATAATTTATTGACTACTTTTCTTGCTTATTTAACATAATTTTCCGAAATCTCGTTTTTTTTTTTAAAATTTTAAAACCGTTTTTTTTCTGTTTCATATTTTGCTAATATTTTTCAATTTTTTGATTCCTCTATAATCTCGGTTTAATCTTTTCCTAATTTTCTTACCACTTGATGATTTTTCGATATTTTGTCTCTCTTTTCAGATTATATCTTGCTTATTACTCACGACAATCTGGAAATATCTGAAATGAAAACAATCAATGTCAATAACCATAACTATTATAGAAATTTATTTGAAATATGAGAAACAATACTCGGCTTGTATAACAAACTTTCGCACCACCAAAAACATTATTGCAATTTTTTCTAATAAAAAAAACTGTTAAAAGCTGAAATTAACGTGCTATATTTATCAAATAAATAAACAAAATCGGTTGGCTAATACAAATTTATTGTGAAACCATTGACTTGCAATAAGAAATCTGATTGAGTGTACACACATACACACATACACACACATATATGTATGCATGTATGTTTATGGAAAATATG